TATTTATTTAAAATTTATTAAATATTTATTTAAAAAATATAAATATTTAAAATAAAACTATTTATTTAAATTATAAATGTTTATATAAAAGTATTTATTTAAAATTATAAATATAATAAATGTATTTATTTAAAAGTATAAATATTTATTATAAAAGTATTTATTTAAAAGTACAAATATTTATATAAATGTATTTATTTAAAAATATAAATATTTACAATAACAGTATTTACTTAAAAAATATAAATATTTATGTAAAAAAATTTATTTAAAAGTATAAATATAAAACTATTTAAAAGTATAAATATTTATTATAAAAGTATTTATTAAAAAGTACAAATATTTATATAAATGTATTTATTTAAAAGTATAAATATTTATAGCAAAGTATAAATATTAATAAATAAAAATAAATTTAGGAGACACTGGATAGCGGCTCGGATTGAAGAATCGGAGCGTCGAGTTCGAATTCTTCTCGGATCCATTACGTTCATTTACGTGCTAATATACTTGGTGAAGGTATTAATCTTCTTCTTCTCCCCCAGCTATGGGTAAATACCAGAACAGACGGGGTTCTATAGCCTTGGATGGCAATTGGTCTACCACAGCAACTTACTGCGGGAAAAAAATCTGCCTCGTCAGTCACGTATCGAAAGATACATGATTGCCTAAGCGTGAATCACGCATAACACATAAATAAATATAAATATTTTCAACAGTTTCAACTTTAATATTATAAACGACAGCAAAAATTTGATATTATTGACATGGATATTTAATGTACTATAGATTGGCGAGATAATTTTGCACAAGCATGAAAAAAAAATGGTGTTTCGCTATAGAAATTATATAATTTACGATTAATCTAAAATCAAGTGTCGGTCTATAGATGAGATATTCAATAAATGCTTTTTTAAGCCTAAGTAAAGCATCAATCAATATGAGTTATACAAGTAATTAAAGGTTTCCTGACATCCTGCTCGACCTGTACACAAAGAAAGTATATTCCTAGCCCTAATTCAAAGGCTGACCTATATCTGGACTTTGACGTTAGCATAGAAAGTGTGTTCAAGGCAAAATGTTTCTTATCGATTGCAGTCTATTGGAATAAAACATGTTACGTTCTGTGTCGTCTCTGGATTCCCACACGACAACATAAAATGTTTTCAATGAAAAGCACGATTTCTTTTTCTTATTCGTTTTATTAGGAGAGAGTCGTGGCAGTTTGGATTCTTAGAAGCAGCGGGAGGAATCACGTTACATGAACGCATGTTGTACGTTGGCTCAGTGCCCCTCCGCGAGTGGTCTTAGCCGTTCTCCAACCTGGGTGTGGGAGGGATATCGACGCATCAGAATTCTTGCGGCCCACCGTTGAATTCCAGCTGTTTTGGACTTATATCCAAAACCTGCACAAAAGAAATCCATCACTGTCAGAATATCATGCCAATGAGGCATCCAGTCAATCACTGAACATTCTGGCCCTAGACTTAGCATTCTGTATAAAAAAAACTGTTGCTTTCATTTAAACAGAAAAAAAGAGTGGTATTCCTGCTTGAAAATGACTCAGAAAAATGTGCTAAACCACCTCCTAAAAAAGCAAGTTTCTTGAGAAGTAAAAGGTAACAATGTCTGATTGGTGTAGTATGTAGCCAGGCTCAAACTTTAATGAACGACAATAATCCAACAAGATTGATTTGAAAGTATGAACACTGTCGAAGTGAAGAACATTCCAGTGACTTTGTAAATATAGTGAAGTTAAACTGTAAGCAGAATTACAAGCTAAAGTCTGTCGCATTAAATATTGATTTTTACATGAAATTCCTCATCGGGAGACTCATTTTTGCATAGCAACATCTCCAAGTCTTTTGGCAATAGAGTTTCGATCCCGTAGAGTTTGATAATAGATAATATCTGAAGATGTCAGTTTTGATTGTGTAATGTTCCATAAGAAACAATAAAATCCTGTCCTGGAAGGGAATTTATTTCAAAATATGACATGAGGTAACTCATTTATAGTTAATACTGTATTGCTTTTGATAGAGAAAATAACATTGCGTTTCTTGTTTTCTCTGGCATAGGGTTGTCTGGCTGCAATATCAGGAACAAAGGCATCTGAACACTAGAATCGTTGTATATATATATATATATATATATATATATATATTATATATATATATATAGCATCTTTTGACAAAAAGGAGCTGTTCTTCTTTAAGGCAGCGGAAGTAGATGCAACTCAGGCGACAGAGATGTGGTTCCAAAGGATGATATCATGGAGGATGATAAAATCTTATAGAGTTGCAAACAGTTTCCATAACAGCTGAACAGGCAGAACACTAGAATCAAGCAGACAAAATATCTGGGAAGCATTTTTGACAGAGGGATTACTGAGATCCAAAGGTGTTTGGGATGGTACAAAACATGAGGATATCTTTGGTAACAAAGAAAAAATACTGAACTGTTACATGACATCTGTCCTTCTTTACGGAAACGAATTTTGAACATTTTCCTCAAAGATAAAGGAGAGATTAGAGGCGACAAAGACGTGGTTCTACAGAAGGATGCTGAGGATGACATGGACCGGCAACGATGAGGTCTTGGGATGTTGCAAACAAGGGGAAGGCTTATACTTAACATCAGAAAGAAGCAGCTGAAGTTTCTGGGACACATAACGAGGAAGGAGGGCCTGGAGAATCTGATACTCACGGGTCGAATAGAGGGAAGGGGAGGCAAAGGAAAACAATGCGTGACATACCTGGCGGGCTTAAGTAAGTGCATGACAGAACGTGATCTGTGAGAGGAAGCAGAGGGAAGAAGCTTGTTGAGAGCTGCAAGGGATAGAGGGAAGTGGAAAGCCATGGTCGCCTACGTCCTGAAAGGACATGGCACATAAAAAGAAAAGAAAGTTTGGCTCAATTTCTGTGGATGCTCTAGCGATCAAAGCACTTTCTATGTACTTTCGTTTAGACCACTACGGTAGGATCCCACATTACATTCACTATTTGGTTTATACATTTTTTCTATTAGGTTGGTGTAAAAGTAATGTCGTTTTTTGACGTTAAGTTGAACGTGAAAAAACGACATTACTTTTACACCAACCTAATACTTATGCTAAGATTTATTATTATTATTATTATACAAAAGTTAATTTTTGACCTACATTTATTTTATAAACACATCCTAGATCATAATCAATGACTGACAGCATTTTTGGCTTCCTACTATCCTTGATATCGCTATTGCCTTAGCTACTGAAAAATCATTTTCCGTTCAGCGCTTATGCAGAGTTTTGTTTCAGATGGATCACTTTTTCACAGCGTTCATTTCTGCTATTATATTTCTTCAAAAAGCAAAAACAAAACACTATTTTATATCAACGACTACTTTAAAAATATACCTACATCAAACCTATAAAAATGAAAAATCAAGAAGTATTAGCGGTCAATTAATGATAGATTCTGACGAGTAGACGAACGGATCCATCTGAGAAATTCTGGAGTCAGGATGCTGAAAGCAACATCAATCAGCTAAGGGACAAACCTTTTACTTCTATCTCTCTCTCTCTCTCTCTCTATATATATATATATATATATATATATATGTATAAACTATAAATGAGTAAAACATTTCTTCAGTTAGTTATTCCAGACATCTCTTGAGAATGAAACAGTCATCTAAAGTTAAGGTTTAATATTTCAAATTAAACTTTAACAATTGTGGACCAGTTTCGAAACATAGTAATTTCTGTGTCGCGATGGAATCATATTTTTAAAAAATAATTATAATTTTAAGCTTTTCTGTATCGAACGGTGTTTTTGAAAAATAAAAACAAAAATACTAAAGAACTTTGGATCATCAATCTAACTGTTCTTTTCCTATTACATCAATACACTCTATATATATATATATATATATATATATATATATATATATATATATATATATATATATATATATATACGTGTACGTGTGGATTCAAAAGTAGGTATATATATAGATATAGCAGTATTGAAATGTTTGTATAATCAATACAATACGTTTTGTGCGCATGTTTTGCTTTTCATTACCGTATACCTATATTATCATCCATATGTGTGTGTGTGTGTGTGTGTGTGCAAATGACTGTGATGGGCTGATACTAAATTTCGCATCTTCCTTTTCCCGATTTTGGTAAATTTAGCGATTTACTTAATACCCATCGAAAACTGAGATTTCTTCCTTTTAGTAATTGATCTGGTTTTTCTTGAAAAGAGAAAATGCATATTTTCAGCATTGTGAATTGCATTAACCTCTTTTTATACCTTTCTGCCATCTCTTCGCTTAATTCTTTCTCTACTTTCCCTCTTCTTTTTCTTTTTACACCCTTCTCTTAATATTCGTGTTTATTGTTAGCCCCCAATCGCCTCCCACCACTTATTCTCTCTTTCTCTCGTTTCTTCTACACCGTATCCGATTCTTGTCTCCACTTTTTCAGTCTACTTACCCCGTCCTTATATCTTCGATTTTTTTTTCTTCCTCGCTTGCATAGATGTATCTGTACGCATTCAGACATTGCTGGGACAGTCGCTTTTAACACCCAGCATCACGTCCCCCACCCATTCTCAAGTAGAGAAATCAGAACTCTTCTTTTTGACTTCGCGTCAGAGAAGTTATTGAGGCATGCGCACAAGAGTGGCGAAGCGATTCCTTTAGCTTCTTCTTGCTCCTGACACTTCCGTTTCTGCGCAGTGAGCTCGATTTGTGAGGTTCGTAACATTTAAAGGTGGTTTTTCATTTAACCTTCTCTCTTCCGGTTCGATTTATGTCACTACTTAACATTTTATTATTTTATTTTTAAATGTTTTATTTTACTGAACAAGAGAAATTAAACGCTGAAAAGTATCAAAGAAAAATATCCTTTTATGGAGTCGGGAGGTGTTGAATTTGTAATTGGATGAGGAGTTTTTGAATGTGAATGGAATGGTCGATATGAAACTGTCACTATTAAAAAAAGGATAAAGTTACTTTTGTTTTTCCCTCGTTTGGTGTAGTAAAGAAAAAAGAAAGAAAGAAAGGAAACAATGCAGATAGATAAGGAAAAAAGGTGAAGAAAAAAGTAAAGTAATGGGAAAAAAAGAAAGAAAACGAAAAGAAACAATGTCCAAAGACAACGAAAAAGACGGCGAAGAAGAAAGATAGAGAAGTAAAGGGAAAGAGACAGAGAAAAAAGAAGGAAAAGAAAAAAATGTACGTAGACGACGAAAAAGAAATTGAAGAAGAAATAATATAGACGTAAAGGAAAAAAGAAAGAAAAAGAAGCGAAATAATGTACGTACACTAGAAAAAAGAAGATGAAAAAGAAAAAGAAAGAATTAAGGCGAAATAGTAAAAAAAAAAAAAATGAAAAAATAGAAATTGTAAACAGCCGAGGAAAAAAGAAGGAGAAGAAAAAATTAAAAGGAAAAAGAACAATTTTTATAGACTAGGAAAAAAAAACGGCGAACAAGAAAAAAAAAGAAGGAATTAAAAGAAAAAAGAAAAGAAAAAAAAAAAATTGTTCATAATCGAGGAAAAATGACGAAAAAATAAAGAAGTAATGGAAAGAAACAGAAAGAAAAAAGAAAGTAAACGATGAGAAAAAACAATAGAGAAGTGAAGGAAAATGAAAAAAGAAAAGAAACAATGTACAAGCATAAGAAAAAAAAACATGAAAAAATATAACAAAACAGAAAGAAAAAAGCAAGAGAAACTATGTAAATAGACGAAAAAGAAAGAAAGTCAAGAAAGAGGTATAAAAAAGAAAACAGAAAATAATGTTAGCAGACGAGGAAAAAACTGCAAAGAAGAAAAAGAAAGGAAATAAATAAAAAAAAAAAGAAGAGAAAAGAATCATTGTTCATAGAGAGGGAAAAAGATAGATAAGACGAAAAAATAAAGAAGTATTGAAAAAAAAAAGAGAAAAAAGATGAAAGAAATAGTGTAAATCAATAAGAGAAAGAGTAACTGAAGAAGAAAAATAAAGAGAGAATGTTATAGTTGAAGTAATAATAATAAAATAAGTAATAAAGAATTAAGACTGAAGTAAAGAAAAGATGGCGAACGTCGAACGTAGGAGAAAAAAGTAAGATGGAGGAAGATAAACATGAATCAAAATTAAAGAAACGCAGAAGACATTACTGACGGAACAAAGCTTTCGAAATCGATGATTTGGAATTCAATACGTTAATTACATTATTCGGACTATTGTCCTCATCTTTGTCGCCATATTTATCACAACGTTTCGGCCGTTGTACGCTCCGGACTTCTTTAGGTGGTTGGAAAGTCGAACTGAACCCTTTATTTCGCTCACTGGGGTAGACTGTTCTAGTTCCACGTGCCATGTTTGATGGATGTCAGTTATCAGTTATCTCCTGTTAATTTCCCTCCGAAAGTTCTCCACTGCCTTAACCGGGTATTGAACTCACACTCTTTGGGCCCTGTCACTGGATCCAACTCCTTTTAGCCCTGTCACTGGATTTATCCACTCCTTTGTCCACTGTGCCATGTGTCCTTGTAGTCAGAATAATGTAAATAATGTACATAATACCTCATCTCAGAAATATAGACAGGCTCTGAAGGAATTTTATATCGAAATGATGCAGCGAAATATTTAACTATGGAAATATGTAAAACTAGCAGGATAACCCGTCGTTGACCGGGTGTTTCATTACTGGGAATTTTTGCCGTGCAATCGGAACAGTTTACGTTTAAAAATCATCCCTCCCGAAAATCAGTATTAGTAACAACAATTGGCTGCAACTGAGGCACATCCCCAAATGAGGGGTTGACAATTTGAAGGGGGGGGGCTAAAAAGAGCCATTTTTGTTTGTATTCTCTATCTTGTTTCAGCCTCTCGCACAGCAGCAGTTGAAGAGGCGTTTCTCCTCAGCCGTTGAGTCCTTTGATCATCATTTTCAGCCTCGTGCGCAGAAGCGTTCGGATGGAAACTGTGGAAACACATAAACAACATCCGATCACACACACGCATACATGCACGCACACATACATACACACACACATTTTGAGAATTATAGATATAGATAATATTATTGTAATAATTAAAACTATGTATTTTTATTATAGTTTTTTTTATGAAGGATATATATCCAAGAATATATAGTAAATAGTAAAACGTCGCTGAGAGCTATAAGGGATAAGAAGTAGTGGAGAGACATTGTCGCCAATAATTTGGAATCAAAACTGGCACTGAAAAATTATCTATCTAACAAAACAAATTTCATCAAAATCGGATGAAAACTATGGAAACGCATAAACAAAATCCGATCACACACACTTTTACACATACATGCATACACACAGATTTTGATAATTACAGATATAGATATATAGAAGAAAACTATTGTCATTGGTTAAGAATTAGCGCGGGGGATGTACGAGTAGCCTGACGGTAAACTGCGTAATGTGGAATCGACGAGCCGAGTTCAAATTCTGAGTTTGGCTCGTCTACAACTACTGTTGTGAAATCCATTTTTCCTTCCGCCTATGTGTTAAAAAACATGGCAGAATGATATCAATCCTCCTATATGGCAGTAAATGCCGGACAATCTTCTCACAGAAACTTGAAGTAAAAGAAATGCAGTTCTATCGAAGGATGCAGAAGATATGGACCAAACGTGTGAGCAAAAAAAGTTTTAAAGAAAATAGAAGCAAAAAGGAAAATCAAGAAGAGACAGTTTAAATTTATAGGGCATATAATGAGAAAAGAGGGCTTGGAAAATCTGATACACACAGGACAGATTGAAGGCAAGAGGGACAGAGGAAAACAGCGCATAACTTACTTAATGAGCTTGAGTAAATGGATGTTAGAACAAAATTTAGGAGAAATAACAAAAAGACAAAATTTATCAAGAGCTACAGAGGACAGGGAAATTGTGGAGAGCCACGATCGCTTATGTCCTGAATAGACATTGCACATAGAAGAGTCGTGTGGAAATCAAAAAGAAGAACTATTCTGAATGCGAGACTAGCTGGAATCTGTACCAGCTATGCTGGTCGAACTCTCTGCCTTCTGGCAGATAGGAACCAGGACGAGGCTATGCCGAAGGGTAGAGTCTCGTCCGAGGAGGTAGACAGACCCGAACCCGATTATGCAGGTTCTACGGAGAATTTTTATGCCGGTGACCCACGTTAAACTCGGCCTTGTGCCACATCTACCTTCGTTCTCGTAAATATTGATTACCCCGAATCCAGAACCATGGAGAAAGGAAGGTAAAACTATGCTTAATATATTTACCAGACTTACGTCGATATCATTTTAAAACACCGGTTCTCGTACAATTACCGAAGTTAATCAACGCCGAGCCTGGTCAGTACCTAAATGAGTGACCGCTTGGGGATACCAGGTAACGTAATTTTTGAAGCATGTGTGGTGTAATGGATAACGGCTTGGAATTGGAAATTTGAGAGCGAGTTACAATTCCAATTGGGTTTCTTTATATTCACTTACACGCAAATAGCCTTGGGAAAGGTATGAATCCACATCTTCTCTCCCCAGCTATGGGTTAAATAGTAGGAATTGTGTCAGTAAATCATTATTATTTTTTTAAAAAATTCTTACAATCTAAAAGTATTTTCTGGCTTTAAAATAACCTGCAAAAGATTGATAAGCCATAACCCCCCCCCAAAAAAAAAATCAATCATTTATTATATATATATTTATCCAGAAGTCATGGCAATACATAGATAATAAAAACGAACGAATCCTTGGAGGACGAATAGAGCCAATGGGCTGGAGGCGTGCAGGACAGCCAGCTGGCATTTTGTATCTCAAGAGAGACATTGCTACTGCTTCGAACTCTGACGTGTGATAATAATAATAATAATAATAATAATAAGAAGAAGAAGAAGAAGAAGAAGAAAAAGAAGAAGAAGTAGAAGAAAGACGAAATGTCGTCTGAGGGCATTTTGAGGTCATCTCAGATCTTCATCTATGACCAGGTTATGTTCGCATACTGTCCATTGTGCTGAGGCGATAGAAGACGTTTGCTGACCCATACAAATAATCTAGGCAGGCACCACTAGTCCGCTGTCTATTCATAGAAAACCTCCAGTACATTGATATACCTCAACGCTTCCATTAAACAAGCGATATTGTGTACGGCTGTTTGGTGAAGATGTTCCTTTTTTTCCCCTTCCTCAGAGGCTAAAGGACAACCATGTCACGTGTGATAAACTTTGCTTACTCGCATGCTTGCTTGATTCCTGCTAACGTTTTGCGCCTGGGTGAGAGCACACGGGACAGCGTGAAGAGCAGAGGCGACTGGTTGCCGTTTACAGAGATTACAGGAGTGGATCAATGGTAAGGCAAAGGAAAAGTGATCGAAAGGTCTGAGATTTCTTCCTACAAGATTTTGGACAAAAGAGAACTGAGTTTTTTAATGTTGCACACACACACGCACACACACATATACACATGCATAAATACAAGCACACACACAAATAAACACACAGACGTACAAGTTGCTAAGCCAGAATTTCCATCATCTCTTTCGACATAGGACTAAGGCGAAAAAAACGGAGGAAACTAAATTTTGCGTTTCTGGTTTGGTTTGTTTTACGGCATATCAACCTCAATGGGTTATTTAATGCCGACAATATTTTTACTGTTAGTAATATTTTTTCAAAAATGTACTGCTGCTTATATATTTTTCCAAAAATATATTGCTAGTAACATTTTTTTCCAAACATCTATTGATAGTAGTATTTTTTCTTCAAAAATGTATTGCTGGTAATAATTTTTTACAAAATTAAAACCTTTTTTTTTATAATTTTCATAGTGTTTTGACCCCTGTGTAGGTGTTAAATATTTGCCCATAGCTGGGACCCTAACTGGTGCTTTTTTTTCTGCCAAAACGTATTGCTGGTGATTTGTTTTTAAAATTGTATTGCTGGTAATAATTTTTTCCTTCAAAAATCATTGCTGGTAATGTTTTTTAACAAAAGATTATTGATGGTATTAAAACCTATTTTTACACTTTACATAGTGTTTAACCCTAGTTTGTGGGGGTCAACTATTTGCGCATAACTGGAACCCTAGCAGAGTCAGCGTGGACCCAGGAACACCAGCAATTAAGTGGTGGTTCCACGTTCCTCAAAACCTCCTGATCAGAGGCCTTGCTGTTGGACGTTGTTTATCGTCTTATCTCGACGTGGGTTTCTGTTAAAAAAGATTAGCAATAAATTTGTGGACAGCATTTCGTGTATAATTCATTTGACTTGTTAAAAGGTTTTTCGAAATAGTGTTATAAAACCACACGCACACACTCACACACATAGAGATGCACACATATACAGGGTAAGTATTAGGTTGGTGCAAAAAAATAATGACGTAATAATGTCGTTTTTTGACGTTAAAAAATACGTCAAAAAACGACATTATTACGTCATTATTTTTGCACCAACGTAATAATGTACAGTTGTTTAATTATTCATATACTGACGTAATTTTTTGTTTTTTACATTACAGAAGGATGCACAGTGGAGTAATGGATAGCGGCTCGGATTGAGGAATCGGAGAGCCGTGTTCAAATCCATTAATTACGGGCATGTGACCTTGAGAAAGGTATGAATCCTTTTCTTCTTCCCCCAGCTATGGGTAAATAACAGGATGGTAACTAGTCTACCGCAGAAAGAAATAGCAGCCTACTGCGGAAAAATGTACCTCGTCAGTTATGTATCGAAAGATACATGATCGTCTAAGCGTGTATCACGCATGGCATATAACTGACTGAGTGCCACAATTCAGAGCCAGAGCTAACTTCGCCAAACTGTTTTTTTCCAACTCCTCATAATACTAAAGGGACTACCTCTTGACCAAACGTTCCCATGATGTTG